GCAGCACCCAGCCCCTCTCCAGCCCCCACCATGCACTCGGTGACAGCGGTGCCCAGCAATGCAGGAGCACCGAGCAAAGCACAGTGCTTGTGTGGATTCTCTGATGGCTGCTACTAAGGTTCAGCTCATTCCTGCACGTTGCTGAAAGGCACCTCCCTGCTGTTTGAAATCATCCCAACCCAGGTGCCTACTGTCATGAAAGGTAGGAAAAGACAATCCCTTTGGGTCCCACCTCTGCTCCTGTTAACCTAGGTCAACATTTCATTTATTGGGGAAACGGGAGGTGAGGTAGGCGTGGGGAGGCTGTGGGAGTCTCCCTGCCAGGAGGGGTCATGGGCTGTGCTGCACTGCACAGGGACGGGGGACAAATCTCTGGTTTCTCTGCAGAGAGCAGGACAGAGGCGGTTCCAGTGCCTGGGGAGGACTGGGACCGTACTTTGATGCTGGGCAGCCACTGGTCTATACTGGAGAGGGCAGTGGTGGGAGGCAGGTAGTCTGAGCCCAGCCTGGGAAGCAGCCATGGTCCTTGTCATCCTCACCTCGTTGTCAGGTACTGCAGGAAATCAGGATGCAGCAGCTTGAACTTCTCTGCAGATGCCTCCGGTCCAAAATACTTCTGTGGCCTGCAGTGGGGCGAGGAGAAGGGCAGAATTTGTATCACGGGAGTCTTGGGGCTACTTGAGGTTCATCCCACCAGGGACCAATGTCGGGTGAGGGCAGATAGGTCATGCTCCCTCCGGTGCATCACCAAAGGTGCTGAGGGGATCTTGGGGGGCTACTCACTCATCCCCCTTGTCTGAGCCCTCGGTGACTGGGCTGCCCTGGATGGCTGACTTCAGCATCACATAGTCACGGAAGTCCGAGGGGATGAAGATGTACCCCAGGTCCTGCAGTGGGGACACAGACATGGTGCTTGTGGGGGCTTTGGGGCACTGCCCATACCAGTGGGGTGAGGGCTGAGGGCTCCTGAAATGGGGAGAAGGTTTTGGGGGGCAAGTCCAGCCTCAGGGGAGAATTTGGGATCACCTCCCCAACAAGCCCTTGGGTTCTCACCTTGGCCTGGGGTATCTGAGTGAAGCCATACTCCTCGTAGGCGATGAGGGAGTTCTTCATGGTGTTCACCGTGAAGCCGTAGAAGGAGATCTTGGTCCCAACATCCTCCTCGAAGCCTTTGATCACAGCACCGTTGAGCCTGCAGGAGAAGGGCAGGATGTGTGTCCAGGGCCAGCCACTCCCCAGTACCCATGGTCTCATCCTACCCGGGACCCATCCCCACCT